CCGAATAAATCAGTTACTTTGATGTCTAACGAAATTAAAAAGGTGAGAATCTCGCCGCTTCATCGCACTATGGCTGCTCTACTTTCTTTTTCGTTCTAGGATTGCTCTGTACATATCGAATCCGGAGGCGGGTCCGGTGTTTATTTGATCTCACCTGATGGTGCTGATGCATTCCAAGCTTATTGTGATCAAGAAAAGGCAGGCGGAGGATGGACTGTTATACAAAGGTGTGGTCATATTCGTGGAAAAGGAGGAAACTGTTGTGTATACGTCTGTTCACACTGCTAGAGTGAGAAGTAGTCTGGGCTCTTTCTTCAATGTCATCATTTCTAATACTACTTTTTGAAAGCTAATTGACTCACTATCTTAGGTGCATTTGCGTCCGCAATTAAACGCAGTGCAATGTTGATTGCATAATTGTAGCAATTTTGGTTACTCAATTTACAAGTGTAGCGAATCTTGGAGGCGCCTAGGAAACTAGCAATGGTTGCGTACTTTGAGTGTCTTTCCTTTCTCTATCACACTTTCGCAAGTGAACTACGCAACTTATAGCGTGTAAATGGTGACGAAGGACCAACGTATAGAAATTAGGAGCAAATATCCAGGCTAATATCACATTTTCTTAGAATTTTAGGATACTTTTTCAAAAGGTCGAATACTCATATTCATGTGATGTTGCAAATCATCACGATTATCTGGAAAGGTGCTATTAAGTATAATCGTCATAATTAGGGTTTCGTAATTCTCTTTAGACCGGTTATTTTGATATGAGTGGATTTGGTGTGCTGACGACAGTTTAAAATCAAAACAAGGTTATATCTGTAAAGAGATTAAAATTTCACAACTATTGGTTCCTATCATGCTAAAACATTCATACTTTTTTATGCTTATGGATGACTAATCAGCAATTATTCAAAGTTATGAAAAAGTGGTGGATATGATTGCATATGTAATTGCTTTCAAATTTAGGCGGATTGATCCTTCTGTTTACTTCTATAATCGAACCTGGCAGGAATACGAAGATGGATTTGGAGATTTTGACGGTACTTTGATTGTCACTTATAACACTCATTCAAACCTTTGAGTGTTCAAGCTGTTTATAGGATCTCATTGGCTTGGTTTGCAAAACATCTACCGTTTGGCACCGCGACAGGGAGACAGCTGGATACTGCGCATTGAGCTTCGCGGCGATCACTGTCGTGGCAACGGCTGCCTGAATAAAAATGATGGTTACTGGTGGGGCGAATGGCCTTTTAAAGTGAGTAGTAAAGACGATGAGATGTTTTGGGAAATAATATGACATGTTTTAGTTAGGCGAACCCTCGTCAGGGTATGTGCTAGATTTGGGTCCAATGAAGGCTGGGAACCTCACAGGCTCTGGCTCAAGCCTTTTAGAGAAGTTCAACGGTGGTCGCCCTTTCACCGCTATTGACAGAGATAACGATGCTGTCAATGGATTGAATTGTGCGCAGTTCCGAAATTACGGGTATGTCTAGCTTAATCCATCGGTTAGGAGAACGAGGGAGAAACTAGCATTATATTTTGCCTTTACCTGCACATCATTTTAATAACTTCAAACTTACAGGGGATGGTGGCATGGCGACTGTGGCTATGTGGCGCTGAATGGGCTATATGGCGACAAAGTACCATCTCTCCGCTACATGGTTTACACTTACAATGACGCAAGACACAGAAAATTCTATATTCATCCGAAAAAATCTCTTATGATGATAAGACCCGGTTCTTTACATTAAGTTAATTTTCGTTTTATGGCTAAGTGTACGAGGTTTCCATGGAAATGGTTTTGCTTTTTTTCTTTTTCGTTGACTCCCGTCGTCATTTTCTCGTCTTTCGCTGAAACGAGTATATCAATATCATACATAGTATGGCTAGTTTGTGTTTCATCTGCAAAGTGGACTTTCTTGACGCCCACTTTAGCGTATGCTACGATCAGATCTATCTGATGCAAATCCATTCTTCCATTGCAATTCATTGTTTGATTTT